GGAAAACCATTTATTTAAGAATAGTTTCCCAACAACTCGGTGTAATTACAAAAAAAAGAAGTAGATTGGTTTTAGACTATAATCATCCTATACAGCAATACTGTAAGAGCCCAGGAGATGTGTTATTGCTCAGGGTGTATCACAGGGATCACTGTCAGCTACCACCACACAAACTGAGCTCAGTGTCTGAAGTCAATCCAATCCATCAGTTTTTCAAACGTCAGTGAGTTGCAGTAAATACTTCAAGAGATAACTTGGAAACAAATAAACTCTGAGAGTTGATGCCAACGTTTTAAACAAACGTGTTACGCATGCCGTTAACACTCGGGGTTTGTGTTGAGGGTAACTCTCAGCTGCTACCACACCAAGTTTTACCTCAATGTCTGTCAAATTGACGGATTAGAGCCAATTTAGTGTTGGCTAATGTCGATTTAATGATGGCAATCACGACTCGAAAAGATCTTCAGTTTTAGACGTTCATTCAATGAGCGGTTCTGAAAGATTCGGCCAGTGGTTCATCAGATATTTTGCTAACAGACAAAAATGCAATTGCCAATTTTTTGAGCGACCACACCATATCATAATTTAATTTTTGTAAAATAAACTGAGTTTTAGCTAGCCACGTGTTTTGTAGTGATTTAATGTGTCTTGATGTAATGTACTTTGTACATACAATCAATAATTTTAAAGTTTTATTTTTCTAAATTGTTCACACACACACACACACACAGGACCAAACATTATCAAGTCACCTTCTCCTTTGGCCTCGGGGAATAATAAACTCCAGAAAGCGTTTGGATGTGATAATGTTGCTCATAATATCTTAATAAAACCAAACGAATCAATTAATATTTATAAAGGACACAATAATGTTGACAAATCAATATGAAAAATCTGTATTTTATTTTTTTGCTTTTATATTTTAGTTTTGAGTGAGAAAGGTAAATAAATCAAAAGGATTAACCTGAATTTAATGATTCTATTTGTGACCTGTAACTATTTTTTTGCTTATTTTTCTTCACAAGTCTTGTTTTTATTTGATGATAGTGTGTTAAATAAAAGATATTATTATGCCTGAACAATCATTAAACTGAGAAAAGCAGTAAATTATTGCTACACTTAGTGATAAGATCTGGTTGACACTGATTTTTGTTTTGTTTTGTTTGTAAGCCATAATCATCAAAATAACAATAAATTAAAGGCTTGAAATAGTTCAATCTGTGTGTAATGAGTGTATATAATATATGTTTCACTTTCTGAAATGATTGACTTAAAAGGTAAAACTTTTTCACAATATTCTAATTATTTTAGACACACCTGTACATAGATAGAGCTACAACTTGGTGTTGCAGCCGCGTGATTCTCAAACATATGCAGAGCACTACACAATGCACGACAATTTCTGCTTAAACTTGTTGCCATCCACCCCATTTGTTAGTAAAAGATCTCATGAAACACTAACCAATTTTAATAAAACTCTCAGAAAGTAATCATAATCTTCTTCATACACCAAAGTTAGTCATGGAGTTCCTCAGGGCTCAGTGCTTGGGCCAATACTCTTTACTTTATATATGCTTCCATTAAACAGCATGGGATAAATTTTCATTGTTATGCTGATGACACACAATTATATTTGTCCATTAAACCCAATGAATCCAATCAGCTACTTAGACTACAAGCATGTCTTAAAGACATAGTGGATGACCCTTAATTTTCTCCTTTTGAACACAGGCAAGACTGAAGTTTTGGTTTTTGGACCTGAGCACCTTAGGAATGAATTTTTCAGTCTTTCTCCCTCCTTAGATGGCATTAATCTGTCCTCCAGCTCTAATGTTAAAAATCTTGGTGTAATTTTTGATCAGGACGTGTCTTTTATCCCCCACATTAAAAACGTTACTAGAACCACCTTCTTCCACCTGCGTAATATCACTAACATTAGAAACATCTGATCTAAAAATTGTGCAGAAAAACTGGTCCATGCATTTGTCACGTCTAGACTGGACTATTGCAATGGTTTATTATCTGGATGTCCAAATACTTCTTTAAAAAGTCTTCAGTTGATCCAAAATGCTGCTGCCAGAGTCTTAACCGGAGTTAGTAGGAGAGATCATATTTATCCAGTTTTAGCTTCTCTCCATTGGCTCCCTGTCAAATCCAGAATAGAATTCAAAATCTTACTTCTAACCTACAAAGCTCTCAACAACCTAGCTCCATCTTATATTACAGATCTTATTGTTCCATATTTTCCTAACAGAGCACTTCGCTCTCAGGCTGCAGGTTTACTTGTGGTTCCTAGAATTTACAAAAACAGAATGGGAGGCAGATCTTTCAGTTATCAGGCTCCTCTCTTGTGGAACCAACTTCCAGTTTCTGTCCGTGAGGCTGACACATTGTCCAGTTTTAAAACTGGGCTTAAGACTTTCCTTTTTGCTAAATCCTATAGTTAGGGTTGGCTTGGGTTTCCTGAGCTGTCCCTTAGTTATGCTGCTATAGGCTTAGACTGCTGGAGGACAAACTGACCACAATTTTTCACTCTTCTACTGTCTTTACTTACTCTGCTCAACCTGTTTTGTATTTGTAATTATTTTTTCTATCCTTAACATGTGTTCTTTTGTCTTTCAGATACACCTGGACCTATACCTGGACCTACCATTCTATGTTCGTCTGTCTCTCCTTCCTGTCCTCTCAACCAGCCGGTCAAAGCAGATGGCCGCTTGTCCTGAGCCTGGTTCTGTTGGAGGTTTCTTCCTTTTAAAAGAGTTTTTCTTTCCACTGTTGCCACTGTGCTTGCTCAGGATGGGAGACTGCAACAAAGCCAAGATTCAACTTATCTGCTGGATTCCTTAGAGAACTTTACTAATTGGCTTTTATGTTTGTTAATGTTCCTGTAAAGTGCCCTGAGACAACTTTGTTGTGATTTGGCGCTATATAAATAAACTGAATTGAATTAAAAGATCTCATGAAACACAAACCAATTTTAATAAAACTCTCAGAATGTAATCATTGGTTGGACATCTACAACTTATTAACTTTTGGAGTAAACCCACTTCAAGATGTCCGCTACAATTAATCCACCTTAGCCAACAAAGCAATGGCTACAAATCAGTTTTACTGATTCGGAGCTCAGATTTGGTGTGGTAGTAGCTGAGAGTCATCCACAACATATAAACCAAGCTTGAACTGATCACTTGGGCTCTGCACTATTGTATCAAATCATGCATAAAGTTATGAGTTATAAGTTTTAACTCCATGTCTTCTCTGCATTAGTTGATTTAGTGTAAAACTCTGCTATTAAAGATGGTGAACAATATGCATCCTTAGGAATGCTGGGTTTTTAATCCATTCAACAATCATGTTTGCAGCAGGCAGTTTTCCAAGATTTACTTATACCTTAACTTAGAGCATTGTGAAAAATATTGTATGTTACCTTGAATCGTATACTGTTGATCAATTTTCTTGCAATTACCAGTTACAAACTTTTTCCCAGGGCTTAAAAATCTGCTTGTGATAAATTAGGTTAATGACTGACACATGATTACCGGTAGGCTCCTTCCTCTAAGGCTAAACTATTGTAACCCTCCATGTACTTGAAATCAAAACAGGAATCATTTCTGCCTAAATGGATTAATTTGTTCCATTTTAGAACAACTTTTATTTTGGTAGTTCAAGTTTTCGTGTTTGTTGACTTTTTACCACAATCACCTCTGATTTCAATGGTGAACAATTAGGGCAAGAGAAAAATAATAATACCTGTAACGATATAAGTAAAAGAGTTCTGGTAGGGCTGGACGATAATTCGATATCGATATATATCGCGATATAATTCAAAAGCGGTGGTATGAGTTTTAAGCACATTTTCGATATTTCGATATACATTACGCTATGATTACAGCGTTTCATTGACACATTTCTTTTTCTGTTTGGGTTGAAGCGGCAGAAAAAGCCGTGACACAACTACGTAAGTGCGTGGTGACGTACATCACACGCTGAGCTCGAGTCCAGAAGGAGTCAGCGGTAGCAGGCTAGGCTAATCTCCAACGCGCTGTAAGTTTTCGCTTCAAAATGAGTGCCCATGACCGACAGAATGTGACTGAACAAGTTTTCACAAGCAAAGAGAAAGCTGATGACATCACTGATAAGACAGGAAAGACTAAATCGGCCGTGTGGAAGTGGTTCGGCTATCCGATAAACTGCAGGTTTCAGTGTGCTGCAAAATGTGTCAGAGTCGTTCCAACTAGCGGTGGGAACACATCGAACCTGTTCCACTCGATACAAGATGCTGAGAGTCAGAAGATGAAGTACAATAAAAGTTTGAACCAACGTGTCCCTGAAACAACCCCCCCGCTGTATCAAAAGAGAAGCCCATGCAGCAAACGTTTAGGTTATGTTGTTGTTTAAAGTTCAAACTATTAATATTGACAAAGTTGAGAGATTTTTATGATTATTTGACGGCGATTTCAAATAAAGGCTAAATACAAATAAAAGGTGAACATTAATTTATTTGTACAGTTTTTCTGAGGCTTTTATAATGTTTATATCAATATCAAAATTATATCGTTATCGACAGAAATTAAGAAATATATCGTGATAAAAGTTTTGGCCGTATCGTCCAGCCCTAGGTTCTGGTAAATATGTTGTTGTTTTGTCACATTTATGGTTATTACATTATTACACTTCTCTTACTGTCAGACACTTGACACAATTAGCAAAAAAAAAAGAAGGAAACTTTTGTTTGATTACAAACACAAAATGGAAAACAAAAATCTAAAAAAAACCCTTTAATTTATTCAGATAATTCAATTCAAAAGTGGTATTGCGCAATACCAGTTGAGCGTGTGGGAACTATGTATTGCACGATATGAGTCCAGACATACACGAGCCACAAATGGAACAAGAACGCATCATTTTCTGTGAACAGATGAAGTTGGGACACGTGGTGTTTGAAGGTGCAGTGTGTTTGTGTTGGAGCACATGCCCCGAAGCTTTGGGTCAACCCTCACCGAGCTGGTGGGCCTTTCTGAGGCAGGACAGGGAAGCATTGAGTCGGGCACATTCATCCTCACTGGCCCCGAACTTCTGCAGCAGCTCACACACCTGCACATCGCTCATCTCCAGCAGGCCCTCCAGAGTCACCTGGACCGCGCTCATCTCCTGCACGTTGCACACAAAAGCACTCTTTGAAGGACCCGGAGTTTTAGAAATGACAAACCGCAGAGTTGTAGTTGTTTTGGTCAAACCTTTACAAAGATATGGTTCACCATCACATGCTCAAACCTACTAGATGCTACAGTATATGTGCTTCATGGCAATATGTCTCACCTCTGTGACCTCCTTCCTCAGATTGACGATGCGGAACCAGTGGTGGAGGCGAGGGAAGTCTTCCAGCTCGGCACTGCGCTCCTCTAAGGCCACTTTACACTTACAGGACAGCTGGCGGCTGAAGTACTTCACCAACTTCCCCTGTGACAGAAAGAGACCGACCTTCAGTACAAAAGGCATCAACAAGGCTGGCCTGTTCTCTAGAACCTTATCCAGCATTTAGAATTACTAATTAATGCACACACTCTTAAATACTAAATTACTATAGTGGCGATACTCAGAAAATGCCTAAAGATTAATAAATTATTCTTCAGCTGCTTCTAAATCTACAAGAAAAGAATGGTGGCATTAGATTCAAGATTCAAAAAACTTTATTGTCTGTCACACTTTACAGAATATTGATTTGGTCTATAGTAGAGGGGTGGACACATTAAAACACAATGCTGGAACACATAATCATACAGAAACAAATATACACCACGACAAGAAAGCAACAAAAGCCTCAAGACCACGAGTCGCTCAGACAGAGGAGCACCCCGTCTTTTTTTTTTTTAAATTAGCAAAAATGTCAACAATAAACAACGACAAAAATATTCCAGGTTCTCTACTGCTTTCTGTACTAATGCAAAACAAAAACAAGTGTTTCATTTTTTTTTTAAGTAAGTTGTATTGTGCAATTGTGTCTAAAATGGACCCAAACGCTCAACAAACAAGAGCAGGTTCAAAAATCAAACTTTAAATAAAAAATACAAGAAGTCCAAAAATGAAAAGCTAAAGCACAACAAACAACTTAACTTGTAAATAGAGATTTTTTATTTTTTTATTTGATCAATTTCAGTTGCAGTGGCGCCTCCAGAAATCTTTTGATAGGGTGGTCACAGTGTTAAGTCTGAGAGAACTTTCTTATTTTAAAAGGGTGTGTTCCGGTAACTGTTTGCTTGGATCCAGTAACTCTCTTCTGCACACAAGGAGAGCTGTTGGTCAGGCTACTTCTTGTTGCTCTCTAAAATAGTTATTGAATCAAGTGTTTACAAATATAGGTAAACATAGATGTTTAACAGCCCGTTAAAACACAACAGAATGCAGAAGATGGCATCTACTTAATTCAAGATTTTCTGGGGGAGGACCCCCAGACACCCGCTATTTGCGTTCCAGCATAATTTGGTTTACAAATTAAATACATAAATAAATACATACATAAATAAATAAATACATGGTTATATGGGGGCCATTGGAAATCCTGGGGTGGCACACCAAAACCAAAAGCCAGGACAGAATTTCAAAAGTTTTGTTATGTTGTCATATGTGACCCTTCACATCAAGCTGACATTTAAGTCAGATTTGATCTAAATTAATGAAATACATTTTCAGATTCCTGGCTTTTTAAGCTACATTGTGATACCTGGATCATCCTGATGTCATGAGCGATGCCAGAGATACGGCTTGATTTGTCTTGCTAATTGGGAATACTCCTTGAAAATCAATCCTGAAATGAATCCTGTTTTTATCGTATTTTAATGAGGATTTATTTATCTAAATTTGAAATAGGAAACCTTAAATCATATTTGGATACTGTGATTTTCCAGGTGACATTGAAAGTAGGTTTGCTAGCGTGTAAGGAAAGTATCATAAATATAGGGCACCTCCAAATCTGAGGCCATGGTCCTCAACTGGAAAAAGGTGGATTGCGCTCTTTGGGTCGAGGGTGAGGTATTGCCTCAAGTGGAGGAGTGCAAGTATCCCTGGGGTTTGTCCACAAGTGAGGGAAGAATGGAGTGTGAGATTGACAGATGGACTGGTGCAGCATCTGCAGTATTGCGGACTCTGTGCCGGTCCGTTGTGGTGAAGAGAGAGCTGAGCTGTAAGGCAAAGCTCTTTGTCAATCAGTCTACACTTCTACCCTTATCTGTGGTCACAACTCTGGGGGTAATGACCAAAAGAATGAAATCGCAGATACAAGCAGATGAAACGAGTTTCCTCTGCAGGGTTTCTGGACTTTCCCTTAGAGATGGGATGAGAAGTTCAGTTATCCAGGAGAGACTCAGAGTAGAGCCACTGCTCCTCCACATCCAGAGGAGCCAGTTGAGGTGGTTCAGGCATCTGGTAGGATGCTCCCTGGGCACCTCTCTAGGGAAGTGCTGACCAACTGGGAGGATAACCTGGGGAAGACCCAGGACACGCTGGAGAGACTATGTCTTTCAGTTGGCCTGGGAACACCTTGTGGTCCTCCCAGAGGAGCTGGAAGAGGTGGCTGTGGAAAGAGATGTCTGGGCCTCCCTGCTCAAGCTGCTGCCCCCACAACCCAACTTTGGAACAAGCAGAAGATGATGGATGGATGGATGGATGGATGGAT